CATTCTGCATCCTGATTGGCTGAGCTCTGTAGCCAATGTATTTCAGGAGAGCTAAATTATGATTAGTGTGGACTACCACACCATTTTACCTGCTGCTATGCTGTAACTCTTTTTGATCTCTCTATGGTCAACTGTTTGATCATGATTACTGCTTTCTGATATTTATTGAACTATTTTATATTGTTCCTGATTGTTCCTTGTATTTTTCTACAAACTGGTAAGAAGATTTTATATTCCTGGATTGATCTTATATTGCACTTTATATGGCTAAGACTTGGATTGTTAAAGGACTATGATTTTGCTTTTCCCTAAAAGTAAAATACTATAAACCCAGTTTGTATGTTATTCACAATTACTCTCAAACCGTTTCCGTGCGTAAAACTCTAACGCTACTCTGCTTTATAAGCCACAACTTCGGGTGTAACTCAACAATATCCTTAACATTGGTTATGGGCCCAAAGCCACCCAGAGTTACCCAGAGTTACCCAGAGTTACCCAGAACTACCTAGAGTACTGAGAGTTGATGTGAATGACACAGTAATTTATTCAGACAGCTGTGTTTGTTATTAAGCATCCAACTGAAGATGGCACAAGAACAGTCATCCAGTATATCCATGATAACCCGGTTGGACAGAACAGATTATGTTTCCTGGTCTATGAAATGCAACCTTCTTTTGCGTAGGGAAGGACTATGGGATGTAGTTAATAATCCACCGGATGTAACTGCATGGAATCCAGAAAATGATGAAGATGAGAGGAAATTAGCCAAATTTACTCGGGATAACGAACGACCTCTTTGTATAATTGGACTGACACTGAGTGACGAGCAGCTAGTCCATATTTGTGGTGAAGATGCTGCTGCTAGATGTTGGAACAATTTGAAGAGAATATATGTTCGAGATAGTGTGGGTGCTCACATACATCTTACACGCAAACTGTTTAAAACCCATCTTCTTAAAGGAGGAGATATGTTAGCTCATTTGGAGTTTATGACAAGAACTTTCCAAGAGCTACATGAGAAGGAACTTATTTTTTCAGAATTGCAACAGGTTTACATTATCCTTTCTTCATTGGATGAAAGTTACGATGATTATGTTTCTTCGCTGGAGGTTTTGACCAGAGATGAACTAACATTGACTGACATAACCGGAAGATTGTTGGAAGAGTCCAGAAGAAGGAAAGACAGAGAACAATTAAGAGAGAGACAACCTCAGGAAGAAAAATTGTCTACAACTGCTTATATTGTAAAAAGATGTTTTTCTTATGGGGCTAAGGGGCATATAGCTAAATATTGTACTAAGGGAAAGAAAATGACTGTTGGGGATCAAAAGAGAACCAAAAAGAATGCTAATTTAGTTATATTGAGTTCTACAAATGTTAACAATGATTTGTGGATAGTTGATAGTGGTGCATCACAATCCATCACTAGAAATAGAGAAAGGTTTGTTAAACAAACCTCTTACAACATCTTACATTAGCCAATGAATAGAGAATGAAAGTAGCTGGAGAAGGTATTGCACATTGTTCATTTATTAACGAACAATTACCAATATTGTATATACCTAGACTGAAATTCAACTTGTTATCTGTTAAATCATTATTACAGGTTGGATTTATAGTAACATTTAGAGGAGATAAATGTTTAATCGAAAAGGATGATAAATGTGTTACTGCAATGTTAGAAAATGATCTGTTTGTATTAAGAGATAACCCAGCAATAGTGTCTAATACTAACTCGGTGTATGATAATAAAAAGCCGATGAATGTATTCATTTATTTCATCAACGATTAGGACATATGAATTTTAAGGTATTGAAAAAGACAGTAGAATTATCTGAAGGGATAAAGTTAAGACTATGTACCAAATATTGAACTGTAATGCCTGTAATCAGGAGAAAAGCAAAGTAACCCCAGCAAACCGAGTTAATGGATTCAAAATCAAAAGACCATTAGAGATGGTGTTTGCTGATCTAATTGGACCTAAACAACCCAGTTTAGGGGGAGCCTGCTATGTACTAAGCATTGTTGATCATTTCTCTAGATATGGTTTCTGTTACTTGATGAAAACAAAATCTGAAACATTTCAGCATATTAACAACTGGTTAAGATTTGTAGAAAGAAAACAGAAACATAAAGTAGTTTGCTTGGTAACAGACAACGGTACTGAGTTTACTAATCTAAGGTTAGAGAATATGTTACAGGAGGCAGATATTGAGCATAAACGTTCTGCCCCGTATAGACCACAACGCAATGCTTATGTAGAACACAGAGGTCAAACACTACAAGCTATGGCTAGAGCCATGTTAGCAGATTCTAGTTTGCCAGAAACACTATGGGATGAAGCCATAATGTGTGCCAACCAAGTTTTAAATAACGTCATTAATTCATCTACTGGTGAATTACCATTTAAGCCACAACTTCAGGATAAAAAATATCCTTAACACATACAGTCGTAAGTGAGAGGAGATGGGTAATAGGAACGATGAGAAGATTAGTAATAATGCAGACTTGGTAACTAGTTTGACAGTATGGAGGGAATTATTTGTTTAGCAGAGTGATGGCTAAACTTTCTTGTGTCTAGTTGTTCTGGTGTGCAGTGCTCTATAGCATCGTTTTGAGGGTAGGAGTTGAAACAGTTTATGTCCAGGATGCGAGAGGTCTGTAAATATTTTCACAGCCCTCTTTTTGACTCGTGCAGTATACAGGTCCTCAATGGAAGGCAGGTTAGTAATAATTGTTTTTTCTACAGTTCTAATTATATTCTGAAGTCTGTGTCTGTCTTGTTGGGTTGCAGCACCAAACCAGGCAATTATAGAGGTGCAGAAGACACACTCTATAATTCCTCTGTAGAACTGTATCAGCAGCTCCTTGGGTAGTTTGAGCTTTCTGAGTTGGCGCAGAAAGAACATTCTTTGTTGTGCTTTTTTGATGACGTTTTTGATGTTAGGTGTCTATTTTTGATCTTGCGATATGGTAGAACCTAGAAATTTGAAGGTCTCTACTGTTGATGCTGTGTTGTCTAGTATTGTAAGAGGTGGAAGTATGGAAGGGTTTCTCCTAAAGTCTACCACCATTTCTAAGGTTTTGAGTGTGTTCAGTTCCAGAATGTTCCAGTTGCACCACAGGGCTAGGTCTTCAACCTCCCGTCTGTATACGGATTCATCATTGTCTCAAATGAGATCAATCACTGTTGTGTCATCTGTGAACTTGTAGTTTAATAGATGGATCGTTAGAGATGCAATCATTGATATATAGAGAGAAGAGAAGTGGAGAGAGCACACAGCCTTGTGGGGGCCCTGTGCTAATTGTACAGGTATCTGATGTGATTCTGCTTAGCTTCACCTGCTGCTTCTGTTTGTTAGTGAAATGGATTCCATTATGTGACAGAGATGGGATGATTCCACCAGCTCTGAAAGAAATTCGGGAAGCTAACATTGGATCGACAGGTCTGGGCAATTTCCATCCAGTTTCTTCCCTTTTTATGTAAGATTACTGATAAGATAATCAATATTGATATTTGCAGTTTCAAAGGGTCCTGGAAGAAACCGATTATCTGGACCCTTTCCATACCCTAAATAGAGATAGTCTTTGATTTACGACCACAATGGAGCCTAAAATTTCTGTTGCTAAGCAACATAGATGTTAAATGAGTTTTGCTTCCTTTTACAACCTTTCTTGCTACAATTAAGTGAATCACTGCAGTTCTTAAGATAATAACATAAATCTGACTTCTCCATTGACATTGCTTGTCAGAAGGTCACAAAAGATGATCACATGGGTGATGATCACACGGGATGATCACACAGCTGGGATGTGCAACTGTCATAAATATGAGCCAGTTGCCAAGTGTCCAAATTTGATAATGGGACTGTGGGAATGGTGCCACAATGCTGCCATAATTGTGAAATATGGCTTCAAGTCACTTTATTCAGTACTGTTGTAAATTCGAACAGTCACTAAACAAATCATTGTAAGTCGAGGACTACCTGTATCTCCAGAAAAGTTGGACCCTGCCATTTTTTCTACTATTTTTATACCAGACTAGGTACTTTTCTTCTCAAATTTAAAATGACGGTGCGTGATACAAAGAGAGTGCAAAGTTTCTGACATGTGTGTTCCTTTTAATGTTTGCTCAGGAATAGGGTACCAATAGGAGAGAATAAATTAGAAAAGGGTAGTATTCCCTTTCCTATTTATGTTCCCTTTTAACGTGAGATCCCATAAATTTTTATTTATATATGATCTCTCAGCCAAATCTCTGTGATGAAATGCAATTCCAAATGAATAAAGGACACATTTTTGGGATGTTTCTGGGAAAGGAATTTCAGAATGTTTGTAGTTTTAACACGAATACCCCTTTCTTCTTTGGACGCTTTGATGCATATATATTCTCAGGAAAATAGGCTTGGGAGCACATGTTGGCCTGAATTGATTAATTCATTAAACTCTTTCTTTGATTTCTAAGCCGCCCATTTGCCAAACAGTTTTGGGCAGTGTACAGTTCAAAACAATAAAAAGCAAACATTATGTGAAAAGATGATTGCACAGTAGTGTATTTCTGCTGTTAGCTTTTAATTCGTAAATGGCTGTTTCCTCCAGTCTGCTCTGCACTTTTCCTTTTTAATCATTTGTCTGTTGCAAAAGTGACATATTATATAGGGGGCAGGGAGGGGGCCACGGGATGGGAAGTTGAAGAGTTTTGCCTTTTTAATTTCTTTCTTTTCTTTTTCTTTTTTTCTTTTTAAATTGGAAAGAGGTGTGCTTTAGGGCAAAATGGATGCATCATATTTACCCCTTCCTTTAAATACACACACCTTTACCTCTGTATATACACAAAGTACCCAGCCCTATATCAATAATATTGCATCAGATTTTGGCTCTCCAGTCTTGCAGAATACCAGCACTGCAAAAATGGGGCTACACATCATTTGCAGGTTGTTCGTGGGTTACTTCCTCTTTTCAAGGCTTATAGCAAATTGTTTTCTTGTTCTTTTTTGCAGGAGTCCAGGAGGAGACTTGGGAGCTAAAAAGAAGAAAAAGAAGCAGAAACGAAAAAAGGAGAAAACAAATTCTGGAGGTACCAAATCAGACTCTGCTTCGGACTCCCAGGAGATTAAAAATCAACAACCTTCAAAAGTAAGAGATTGGTCTTTGTTTTCTTATCCCTATTTTACTCTGGCTATTAGTGACAACAGCAATATGTTTTTAAATGAAATAATATTTGTGAACTGATCCAGTTTATATATTCAAATGAATGACTGAAATCTAATCACCCTGGTAATTCAAACTGCATCAATTATTTGTATTGGCTCAATCCAATATTTGTAACAAATCAGAATAGACTCAATTCACATAAAAGTTGCATTTTTATAACTTTTTTCTCTTACAGATTCTTATTAAATTTGATAGAAAAATAATTTTTTTAGAATTTTTTTATTTAGAATTTTTTTATTTAAGTTTTTTTGTATTTATTTCAAAGATAAGATGCTACATATAAAATAAGCAACTACAAAGACAATAAAAAAGAAAGACAATTACAGACAAAAAAGAAATAATAAAAATGTGCGCATAGCACATTTAGAATCAACATTAAACATACATCATTCATACTAGTTGAGACATGTTAAAAAAGGCCTGCTGTGCAGGCCAGATCTGGCCCGCAATGTGGTTAGATCTGGCCCATGGGGCCACCCTGGAGACAGCAAGGGTCCAGCACCCACTGTCTCAGCCCCGGTCCAGACCAGTCAGGTGATCCCTCTGGGCGCACGCACAGGAGGCGGCAACTGCACAGGGACTGGCATCCCAGTGAAAGGGAAATATTCACTGACTGCGTTCCTGGGTGGCTGCCTTTCACTTGAATGGTCCTTGTTCCCCACCCTCGCATGGGAAAGCCATGGCCACCAGCAGCTCTGCCACCCTTTCTTCCCTCCCCTCATCCCTTCCTGGGTGTGGAGAGAGGGATGAAGGAAGGGAGGAAAGCAAGGAGATAAGAAGGGAGGGAGAAAGGAAGGAACAATGGAGAAGGAGAAGGAGGGAGACAGGGAAGAAGGGAGGGAGAGAGGAGAGAGGAAGGAAGGAGATGGAAAGAGAAGGAGGGAGGGAGGAAGGAAGGAGAGAAGGAGATTGGAATGAGAATGAGGGAGAGTCTGAGGGAAGTTCTCCCTTAGTACTTGGCCACCAGCAGCCCTGATGCCCTCTCAACCACCCCCTCCTCCTGGCCTCTCCTGGTGGTCTCCCATCTTATCGTTGAGGATGCTTTGCTTACAAAGCTGGATCTCCTCACATGGAGAGAAATGGGCCTCCCTCTGACCTACGCACTTTGCCCTCCCACAACCACCATGAGTAACCTGGCCAAGGAGAACGAGCACAGCAGCAGCAGCAACCTCAAGGGGGCATACGCAGCTGGGCGCTCTCTTGGGGAAGCGGGGCTGTGTTGCAGGGTCCCAGTGCTCTGGGAGCTCAAGGGCTGGATTGGGTGTTGCCCTTCACTGTTCAGGGCTCTGGGCAGCCCGTGCTGCTGTCCAGGGGTCCTCCGTGTGGCTTGATAGGGATGGCAAGCTCCTCTGGTGAACTAGGCTTTGGCACTCACACTGGTCTCTCCTTCCTCTGCTGGGGATAATGGATCCCCCTCTTTCAGCCTTGCCTGGCCCCCCCATCGGAGGTGGAGGACAACACTGCTGTATGTGGAAGCATGGAGGAAAAAGTTTGCAGGAAGCAATTTCTCCAAGACCGACTAGTGCCTTAACAGATCTCTGGAGAGGAGGATGGGGTGACGGGAGCTGCGTGAGGGAAGGCTGCCCCAACAAGCCAGTATCTGTATCACACACAATTGGAGACGGCCAGCCTACCTCGTGCAGAACTGGGGAATGCTGCTTCCCTGCCTCCTCCTCTTGCTCTCCAGAGATCTGTCACGGCAGACATTGGACTCGGAGGAAACTACTTCCTGCAAACTTTCTCCTCTGTGCTTCCACACACAACAGGGTCATCTTCTGCCTCTTGCTTTGCTGGGAATGGGCACTGGCCAGGGAAATGCCAACAATGACTGAGGTGTGGAGAAGAACATCTCCTTTGGTGTGCTGTACACACACACACACACACACACACACACACTTCCGAGGTTGGAGAGTTTTATCAACATCTGAGCTTGCAAACTTTCAATCATGCCTGAGTTTGGGGAGAAGGTCCTCTCCTTCCTCTGTGGATAAAAGACCCCAAACTTAGAATGCGGTGGGTGTGGGTGTGCACATGCACGCATGCGCTTGGCTGCCAGCAATTTGGGGAGGCGAGCTTGTGGGGCACTGAATTGTCCCATTGTCAAGTTAGCCGGTGCAACTTGTTATGTCCCGATCCAGTTGTCCTGAGTCAGCTGTGCCCATTGAGCAGTGTTGAGCCGCCCACGCCCACCTAGTCCTGGCGATCTGGCTGTGACACTCAGCCATGCCTACCCAGCCACACCCATCTGGCCCCTGTGAGTTGTCATAATCTTACATACAACTGGCCCTTTGAGGGCAATCATAATACTGATGCGGCCCTCAATGAAATTGAATTTGACACCCCTGTCCTAGTTGATTGTTAAAAAATATGTCTCAAATAAATCTGGTAGATTTCCCCCCCCCCCTTGTATAGTGGGTCTATAAATAATTATAAAGCTTCTCATCTATACTTGATATATTTGGTATATTACTATTTTACACCACAGTTTCCGATATATAGAAATCTAATATCAATCAAGTCAACCTCATACCTGTTAGCTATTTTAAAAAAATCTGTTAATTGGTATCCCAAAATATCCCCCCAAAATAAGTTAATCTTCAAAGCCCTCCATTAACAGTCTATTATGGTGCGGTGGCCTAGAGGTAAAGATACTCACTTCTGACTCAGAAGGTTGAGAGTTCAATCCTAGGCAACAACAGATGCTCTATCAGGGCGCAAAGAGAAAATATCTACTGCGAACTTGTAGAAGTTCAGGAAGGGCATCTGGCCAGTAAACGCTCAGCTCCATTCAGTTGTCCTGATTCCACCCGGATAAAAGGGATTACAGGAAAGTAAAAAAGTGTATTTAACTCACAGAAACTCCGCTAACGGCTTCTGATCTCTTACAAACTTGTTTAAAGCATTATCTCTAAGCAGTGCATTTAGTTTCACCATCTCTGCCAACTCTTATCAGTTTCAAAATTGATTCTTCAACTGTCGGTGCTTTTTCTTTTCAATATTTGGGATAAATAATCCTTGCTTTTAGAGGTTTTTTTTTTTCCCAAAGAGGAAACTTTCAAGATAATTCTATGGCTGATTGTATATGTTCTTACATTTATGAGGCACCCAATGGCCATATGTAAATGTCATACCATTATTTCAACAGTCATTGAAGCTATCCTGTTGTCGTTGTAATACCACCCTACTTGGAACTGCCTATATACTCAGAAGCTACCTCTTAGGTCCTTGGTTAGGGCTTGAACTGTTAAGTTTTTACCAGTCCCAGACTGTGAATTGAATTGAAGATTAAATCTAACAAAAACAATAATAAATAAAAATAGCATTATCAGACAGGTGTTTTCTTTTTTCGCAACATTGATGCTAACTGTTGCATACAAATTCTATTAGATTCAGACACGTCAACATTTGTGTTATGGATATTCTGCACTTAATTTTGAAAATGTTTGGGTAGAAATCTGTGATGCTGAGTCCATCACAGAATTTCTAGATTGATACATTTTACAATCTTCTCAGTATGCATGAAGTAGAGAAATCATCAAATCTTCACCATTACTGTTATGGTAGCAGAACATAACTTATCTTCTTCAGACTTAGCAACTAAGTAGGGTCAAGCTTGGTTTGTGCTTGAATGAAGATTACGAGGGAATATTGGGCCTATAAATAGGCTGGGAAATTTAAAAATACATCTTGGAAGACGGTCAAAACAAATATTGTGCTGTTTTTAAAATAGTGGCAGTGGTAGTAATTGTATTTTATTCATTCCATTAATTACATTTGATTCTCAGAAACTGTCTGGAAAAGTCCCTTCAGTTTTCATGGCAAGGTTTTTTTTTTAGAAGTGGGTTGCCATTTACTTCTTCCTAGGGCTGAGAGACCTAGCTGGTTTTGTGCTGAAGGCAGGACTAGAACTCACTATCTAACTGCAAAAACTGGCTCTAGTATCGTTGTCAACACTTTACAAAAATAGGAGCAAAATTAACGTATTTTTTCCTCTAACCTAGAAAACAACTTTTAAATTCCACAGTTACATATTTCTCCTCTTTTTTTCCAATTTGGCACAACTAATTTGCTTAGACTATAGCCTAAGCCGGGTGTATCAAACTTGATTTCATTGAGGGCCATATCAGGGTTGTGTTTGACCTCCGAGGGCTGGGCTGGGCGTGGCCAGGATGGGCATGGTCAGCTTAATTTCACTTGTGTCAGGGGCGCCTGTGGCAGCCCAAGGGGTCTGCCAGCGAAAATGGTTTCCCAAGCTCCGTTTTTGGCTGCCACGGCTTCCTGCCACCCTTTGCCAGCAAAAACGGAGCTCGGGAGGGCTGCATGCAGCCCACCTGAGCTCCATTTTTGATGGCAGAAGTACCCCGGGCTGGTTCTTTGCTGTTTCCAGAGCAGCCCCGTGGGCCAGATCTAAGTACTCCACAGGCCGGATCTGGCCCCTGGACCTTGAGTTTGACACCGCTGGTCTAAGCACATTAATAGCAACATTGCAGAACCAACTACTAATTTGAAACATGGCCTTCTCTAAATACACTTTTAGCCCTCTGCCCATTAGTTTTCATGTGTGATGGGATAGCTCAGTATCTTCCTGCTGTGGATTTTGCGTTACATTGATAACAAAACAAAGGTAGATACAACTTATATAAAAATGGGCAGGAAATGAGATTGCCTTTTTCTGATTTTAAATATATTTATTTTGTTTTATCATAAAAGATAAAGTGCAAATCAGAAAAAACAAACATACAAAAACATACATCCAGCACTAACAACAACGAAGAAAATTTTTTTGATGTGTACAGAAGGAAAAAAGGTGCCTCAAATATTATTTTTATGAGATTACCTTTGCTGTATCTCCAGGTCTTTGACTGAAAAAGTCTTGTGCCTTAGTATTTCCTTTCCCAATTAAAAGCCAGCTGATAGGAGGGTGAGGAGATGGGCTAAAGGAAGAAGGGAGACCCATTTAGGCCTAGCTCAAGAACTCTGATAAATATGACATAAAAGATGGTGATAAGAACTCTCAGATAGAATTGCCTGAGGTGTTCTAAAGTTACTTACTGGAAAGATAAGAACATAGGATGTGCCCTGCTCGATCAAACCCCAAGCACCTCTGGTCCAGCAAGCTGTTCAAACCACTCCACCAAGAAGCACTCTAATCTTCCAGCTGTTGTTCCTCATAGGCAACGAAGCTGGTAGCCAGCATTACATCTCACAGTAATGACTTCTAAAATTTAATTAGAAGAGGAGATAAAAATAACCCTTTTATGGGCTCTGATTCTTCCAGGATTCAATTTCATTGGGTGAAATATCTCAGATTCTTCTCTGTTTGGAGCATCAAAGAGAAAAAAGTGGAACAATCAGAGTGCTGAAAAGATATAAGTCCTCGTCTTTTTTTTGGCAGCTCCAAGAGGACCATATGCTCACTCTGCATACTCTATGCAAACTTTACTGATATCTTGGAATGAATACAGCTGTATTTTTCATTCAGAGATTATTTTATGTGAGATTTTTTTAAAGATAGCTTTGATGACAAGGTGTAATATATCAAAAATGCACAATAGCTTGGTAAATCCAGCAGGGTGTGAGAGTATTAAAGGAAGTTGCATTCTCCTTTTACCTGTGATTATATACCTGCAGAATCCAGCCATTCCAATGCAGAAGCTGCAAGACATTCAAAGAGCTATGGAGTTGCTCTCAGCCTGTCAGGGCCCAGCCAAGAATATTGATGAAGCGACCAAACGTAAATACCAGTTTTGGGACACACAGCCTGTACCCAAGCTTAGTAAGTTTATTGCTGGTGACCAGATTTAAACAGCATTGGTTTTTTGTTTATTGGGGAAGGCTTGTATTTTAACAATGTATAAAACAGTTTAAAGTATAGTTTATAGTTTAAAGGGACATGGTGGCTCAGATGCTGAGCTTGTCGATCGAAAGGTCAGCAGTTCAGGGGTTCGAATCCCTAGTGCCATGTAATGGGGTGTGCTCCTGTTACTTGTCCCAGCTTCTGCCAACCTAGCAGTTCGAAAACACGTAAAAAATGCAAGTAGAAAAATAGGGACCACCTTTGGTGGGAAAGTAACAGCGTTCCATGTGCTTTTGGCATTTAGTCATGCCAGCCACATGACCATGGAGATGTCTTCGGATAGTGCTGGCTCTTTGGCTTTGAAACGGAGATGAGAGCACCTCTCCCTAGATTGCGAGGGGAACCTTTACCTTTATCTATAGTTTACAGATCACAAAAACTCACCTCACATACAAAAGAGCTTTAAGATTAAGTTGAAAACAAGCTTTACCACCAAATAATTAATGGGAAGATTGCCATTTGAAAAACTATGTAATTTTAACATTAAACTACTATAAGATTTTAAGCAGTAAAGAGTTGAATACTTTCATGCCAAATTTTCTAAGAATTTTTTTTATTCATTTCGGTGTATAATACCTATAATTCCTTGACAATTTATATCTTAAACCTCAATAAAAATTCTTCAGAAAAATATTCCTGGTAAAATACAGAAGAATCAAATAAATTGTTTTCAAGTGACAATAAGCATTTTAAAATTTATTTTTCAAGAATATGAAACAGTTTTAATTTTATTATTAAGGTTATTATAGCTCTCCGCTTAAGATATCTTAATTGCTTAATTAAGATGCCTTAATTAAACAATATTATTGCTGTTTGCAGGCTCTGCTTTGCTAGCCCATCACTTCTTTCTGAGTTCCAAAAGCCTTCTGCAGAACTGTTCCCTAACATAAATAGTAATTGCTTTTCATGTGGCATCTATAGTCCAGGAGGCTGTATTGCATTGCAATTGCTTCTCTTTGTAAAAGCAGAAACACTCAGGAACATATTGTGGATTAGGAAATGACATGTGTGTACTGAATTGCTCCAGTTATAGATAAGAAAGATAATGCAATTATACAGTGGTTAATTTAGAAATGTTTCCCCAAATGTCTGCAAGGCTTATATTTGTGTTACTATATTTTGAATTTCTTTTTTAAATGTTATCATTAATAAGTTTTCCAAGGTTTGATTTCTATGCTTTGTATTGTTCTGATCTCTGAGAAAATAAGATCAGTTTTGAAATAGCAATAGAAAGAAATAATGGATCTTTAAACTGTAATAGCTGCTCTGAGAATATGGGCATTGATTAATTATGTATCATTAATATTAGTTTCTAATTGCATATTGCAAAAATATCCAGTCAATTAAGGTTGGTTTTTTGAAAGCCTGCCATATATTTCATTATAAATCTCTCTGGTAGACAATTGTGCATGAGGTATGGAAGAAGAGATTTTTAAATTAACAGATCTCCGGTATGTTACTAAAAATAGTTCCTTCTTTAATTGGAAAAGTTAGATCAGCTGTTTGAGTCTGAATTCAATCTAAAATGATTCATCTTAAGAAGTTGTTTATTGCAGTCGAAGAAAAGAAGCAGCAGGTAGTATGCAGTTCCATAACATGTATTAAAATTCTGTAGAGATTGCTATTCCCTTGACAAAATTAATAATTATAATACAATTAAATCTCTAGGAAATAAAGTGACATTATTGATAATTTAGTTGACATAAAATGAATTTGGCCATGGATTTCTTGTCCATGCTTGACTTAATTTTTGTTTACTATACCTTCTCTCAGCTTCCCTAAAAACCGAAAAAATGATTTTAAAACTTTCAAGCTTACCTTCTTTTTCTCTAAGGTGAAGTTATAACATCGCATGGTGCTATTGAACCAGATAAGGATAACATACGCATAGAGCCATATTCTTTACCGCAGGGTTTTACTTGGGACACGTTGGATCTGAGCAATGCTGAAATTGTAAGTAGAGTTCCTTGTGGTCTTTTAAATACAAACCTGGTTTCGTGTTTGTGTATTTGTGTGTGTATAGTTGTGCATTCTTCCAATGTAATGAAATTGCCAGTAGACATGAATTGGAGAGACACAGAAGTCCTCTCCCTACCACATAGTTCTCCGTCTTATTTTGGACCAGTCTGTTAAGATACCATTTGTTTTTCTGGGGAAGAAAATAGCAAAAAACACCCCTCTTAATGCCCATATACTCAATTCTTAATTCCCAGGGGAAAATACTGAGCTACAAAATTGAAGTGAGAGCAGAACAGCTGAGATGCAGAACAGAAATGAGAACATTTAATCCTCTGGATTTTCATTGAAAACTGATATAACTGACTTTGCCCACTCTCCAAGTAGCTAAGGAATAGTTTTAATCACAGGATCTTACCGGACTTATCAACCAATGTTAAGAATGAGAGCCAGGGTGACATAGTGGTGAAGGTCTTGGACTAGGAGTGGAAGGACTGGATTCTACTCTCAGTTATAAAAGCTCATTGGGTGGCTTCAAGCTAGTAATTCCCTCTAAGTAGCATAGCCAACAATGGACTGTGGAAGAAATAATTAAATCTCAACTACGTTGAAACCAAGAGGGTGGAAAGAAATAGACATTGTGCCTTATTCTCTGGCAGGGTGGATTTGATTTAAATCGAGTTGATTTAAATCATGATTTAAATCATGATTTAAATCACTAGTAAAAAGGCTTGATTTAAATCAACTCGATTTAAATCATAATTTTTAAAGAGCAACTGTCATCTCTGCTACTCCTTTGACCCACTGTTGACTCACCGATAGTCCCAGTGTTGCAGAATATACAGCCTCATGCTACATTACTAAGCTCCATTTATTCATGCTGAATAAACTAAATTATTTATGTACCTTAAATAGAAAACTATCTTACGATAGATTTTTACCCCAAAAGTTTTTTATTAAAATAAATTCGATAAAAATAAAAAAAATCAGATTTAAATAAAAAAAATCAGATTTTTTTGATTTTTTAAAAAAAATCATTGATTTTTATCTACCCTGGTCTCTGGTGAAGCTAAGTATATGTCTTTATATGAAACAGGCCTCTCAATTGCGTCCCTTCAGGTCAGAATTCCTGTCCCCCTCCACTCGTTCATTGATGAGTTTGATTTGGCTAGTTAGACTGTTTCTCTTAAGAGAAGAGTCAGGTGCTCAAATTCAGAGCAAAGTGAAAGCTGTTGGATTCAATAAATTGATGGTTTCCTTCCACCCCTTTTTTCCAGTTAAAGGAGTTGTACATGCTGCTAAATGAAAATTATGTTGAAGATGATGATAACATGTTTAGATTTGACTATTCACCAGAATTCCTTTTGTGGTGAGTCCCAGTTTCCATATACATCAAGGGTGCGTCTGTGGAGAAGTAATGATGTCATTTGCCTGTTCTCTTCTCAGCCCTTTCTCCTCATCTCTCTTGCTAGGCAGCAAGGAATTTAAGTGATTTTTTTTTTCATATTTGATGTTTAGAAAGTATACAGCACAGCACAACCCAACCTATGACCACATTTGGGACCAAAGTTTCCATTGCTAAGCAAGACAGTTGTTAAGTGAACCTTGACCAATTTTACAACCTTTTTTGCCTTGACAATTAAGTAAGTCAGTGCAGGTTGTTAAGCAAACCCAGCTTCCCCCATTGCTTTTGTTGGAAGCTGGCTAAAAAGGTTGCAAACAGTGATCTCTTGACCCCAGGACCATGCCAAACTCCTCAGTTTTGATCAAATCACATTGATTTGATCTCTGAGGATGCTATGACAGTCGTAAGTTGAGGATCAATCTTAAGTCACTTATTTCAGTGTTATTATAACTTTGAATGGTTACTAAATGAATGGTTGTAAACCGAGGACTCCCCGTATTCTATAAAAGGTAAGACCTAATTGTTACTTTCACACTTCTTTCTCTCTTTTAGGGCTCTTAGACCGCCAGGTTGGCTTCCGCAGTGGCACTGTGGCGTCAGGGTATCGTCCAATAGGAAACTGGTGGGGTTCATCAGTGCCATTCCGGCACACATTCGGATTTATGATAGGTAAGCCCTAACTGATTAGGAAATTAGCTGGGGCCTCTTAGATTTTTTTCGAATCATTTGCACGAATTTTCCTTTATCAAAAAGGTTAGATTTGGAAGAAACTTTAAGGGGAAACCTTGGTGAAGTATTGAAAATGTTTTAAATATCTCAAGCTAAAGTCCTTGTCCATTTACTCCAACAATTAGCAACTTTTTCTGTGACAGCATCATCATGCAACATCTGTAGAATTTATTGCTATTTTAAAACATTGTCTTCCTCCTCTTTCTCTTTCTTGTCAGCTTTTAATCTTGGAGACCATCGCTTGTTATCTATCAGTACCTTAAGCACTGTGGTACAACCACACTTACATCTCTGTGCTTTTTTTACTCTACTAATGATGTTTATTGAGAATATTCAGAATTAATATTGCCATTTCAGCATTTTTTTTCAGAAGTATTGGAAATTACTGCTAGAGTATTAAATTATTACAGAGTTGGAATTATAATCAAGATCATCATCAAAGTACTGCAGCAATACTTAAAAGAGAGAAAGTTCTCATCCAATTATATACTGGAGCACATTGAGGAATGCTAATCAAATTCAGCCTTATGTGTTTTCCTACACTGCCCTGCATATGTTTACACATGTGTATGCCCAAAGCACATATTCCCCCAATTTCTTGTCCTTTGTCTTCTACTTATGCCCCGGTATAAAATCCAAAACATGTTCTTACCCTTAACTAGTTTTTAATATATTTCTGAAATTTGGCTGCTGACCATTAATTTGGAGAAGAAAAGGTTAATATGTTTACAGCAGCAAATGATGTTAAAGTAGCAGGAAGAGGCAGACGTGCCTTTGCAGAAATCACAGATAAATATTACATCTGCCAGAATCAACAATTCAACCGGTGCTCATAATTTCTGTAAGATATTCAAGCCCTGAGCAAGTAGAATTGATATTAGTATTTAATATTTAAAAATCTAAATTAGTGGCTATATTTGGTTCCCAGCAGAAAATCCCTCAAAGCAGAAAATAACTACCAGATCAACTTTTCCCCCTTTAATTTACTTCTGTACAACCAACTGTAACTTCTTAAATATGGGAAAGGTCAAATCATAACCTTCTATATGTAAGGGATATGGGAGACAGTTTTACTGTATTTATTTATCTCAAGTACATAAAACCCACAGGGAATCCTACACAGGGCTGCAGAACAAGTTGTAAAATTTATTCAAGAAGTTATCTCTGACCCAAAACATAAATGTATCCCAATTCAGCAAACCAGACTGAAATATTTCATTAAAAATCATAACATGCAGTGTGCATAGGCAATTCAAAAATGTACTACCCAGAATCCTTCCGTATAAATAGTTTTACCTTGCTTTGCTATTTTTTACAAAATATTATGTATGTGCATCTCCTTGGGAAAGAGAATACTAAAAATAAGGACTCCCAATATGAATTCAAAATACTTTTTGTTTATACAGCTAATCCCCCGGTTACGAGCGTTCATTTAACGCCCGTTCGCAATTACGAGATAAAGGCCCCCTAGTGTTTACAAGCAAGTCCCAAAATTACGAATGTAATTTTTATGAATCTGTCTCGTCCTCGTCCTTGCTTTTGAGGCAGAGGAGAGTTGATGGAAGCATCTGGGTGTGATAATGTCACGCGAGTGACATTACCCATCCTCATTTGCAGAGACTGGGTGCCTGAACTCTCACGAGATCACGGACCCCAGAAACATTTATTCTCAACAAGAAAAGGGTTTCCGGTGCATGTCTCCTGTCCCCACCCCCCCATCAAAATTCCTTTCCTCTACCACTGGGACACTTCTTGCTGAGATGGAGACATGACAGAGACTGGAAGCTTCACAGAGGGATTTGCTCCATTTTGAAATGCCCTATAGACGCCTATGAGGCCTTTGAAAACAGGATTTCACCCCGTTTTCAAAGGCCTCATAGGAACCTGTGAGGCTTCTGAAAACAGAGGGATTTGCTTCGTTTTGAAACACCTCATAAATGCCTATGAAGCTTTTGAAAATAGAGGGATTTGCTTCATTTTGAACTGCCCCATATATGTTTATGGGGCCTTTCAAAACGGAGTGAATCCCTCCGCTTTCAAAGGCCTCATAGGCATCTATGGGGTGTTTCAAAAGGGAGTGAATCAATTCAAAGGAGGTGTGGGAGGAGTAGGAGACAGGCGCAGCAAACACTTTTCACATCCTAGACTTAGAGCTTCCATCAACTTTTCTCTCTCTCAAAGCGAAAGAAACCACAGCAGAGACAGATCTTTGCAAGGTGAGCCGGCATGACAGGGAGGGGGAAGCATGAGGTATCTTAGTGGGTTGGGAAAACCTTGGGAGCCATCACTAGCTGCCCCCCATGGCCTTCCCTACCCTGAGATACCTCATGTGCACTTAACGAACTGCACATTAAATTAGCAAATGTGTGGGCGAAAGCAAAGAGTGATCTTGTTCAAGGTACGAGATTCACTCCCATGAATCCTTGAGATACGAATGGAATGGTCAGGCTCCATTACATTCGTAACTCAAGGATTACCTGTACAGCCGGAAAACAGTAACATTTAGAAATATAGCCATGTGCTCTTCACAGCTTGTAACGCTACATATTACACACAAAATAGATGTTACTTCCAGAGTAAGAAAATTGGTAGCAATTCACTGAAATAATCTCTTCATTTTTTATTTTAAATCTTCTTTTAAAAGGTACAAAAATTTCATGCACTAAAATAGTAGGTCCTGGGAAATGAATCATTTTTTTTCTTGAAAAGGTATATAGAAGCTAGAATTATGAAAATAATTTATTTTTCCTATTTCAAAATGTATTGCTAGCTGAGAAGACTTGGTAGTTGAAGTCCATGTATCTTAAAGTTGCTATTGTTGGGAAACACTGGTGCAGAAGCATAATCTTTTCACAAAGCTCCATTAGTAACTGGTTGGAGAAAGTTGTAGAGCAAAGACAAGGTTGACCCCAATCTCTTTCTTGTGACTCCAGGACTTCTCCAAAGATGGCGCTTCTGAAATTAGTAGCAAATCCATTCATAGGCGCCATGACACTTTCCACCATCTTTAAAACAGAGAATACCACAGAGTATTAAACCTCTAATTCATTTAATTTAGCTATTGTGTTTTGAAAAATAAACAGCATTTTCCCCCAAATTTAAAAAAAAGGGGGGGGGAATAAAACCTAAGGTTCTGTCCCCCTCTATGATGATGATTGATTATGATGACAGTGACAATGACATAGATGTAGTTCTTTCTTTAAAATAACACTTCTTGAGTCTTGATTCAAAAATTTCCCCACTTCTTCTGTAAGAAATATGTTTTCTGTAAAATTGGGAAGAGTTGGTCAGTAGGATAGGTAATATTAGTTGGACAATTTGTACTTCAAAAATTTAAGCAATTGCTTATATATTTTCTTTTAATAGTGAGAAAAAAATGGTAGAAATTAACTTTCTGTGTGTCCATAAAAAACTACGATCAAAGCGAGTAGCCCCAGTCCTGATCCGTGAAATAACCAGAAGAGTAAACTTGGAAGGAATTTTTCAGGCTGTTTACACTGCGGGAGTTGTCCTTCCCAAACCTGTAGCAACTTGCAGGTAAGCAAAGACATTATTTTTTGAGAACTTACATAATTTTTGTTATAAAAGAGTAACCAAAACTCACCTTATAAATTGAATGGTCAGTTTAACTTCAGATTGGAAGGATTTTATGCATTAAGGAGGTATTTCACATTACAGTACTGGCAGTGATGAAATGAGAGTTAGCCTTTCTGCCTTTCTAGAAAATGTATGAGCTCCAGTTGTGAAACTCATGGCTATTGTGAACATCTGCAGTTTCCATGTCAGTATCACAAGATGGAAGTACAAAAAAGTGGAAGTTGAGGTATGGTTCCTTATCTCCTCACCTCGTTTCCTTTAAATATTACAAAACTTGTGGTTGATCTTTCATAGCTAGATTCTGATTGCCTTACTTGCATTGTTTTAAGGATTTAATCCACTTGAAGTTTTATTTCAGCGCTGGTTTTATTAGATACTTTGTGAGACCTAGCCTGAACACAAAGTCTAGTAAACAAAACCAAAAGCATTGTGAATAGGTAAAAATGATTTCCAGTCAATAAATGCACAGTCTGTAAATATAAATTCTTTTGAGATTCCTAATGTATTTCAAGTTAAGCAGCCTAATAAAGTTATAAAGTTGATTCCCCCCCCTTGTTTTATTTTAATAAATATAATGTAAGTATCCATGTAGGCTATAATTTTTGCATCTATTCCATTTTCTAAGTAGAATGCTTTTTTTCTTCCTCTCCCCCTTTGGCTTACTAATTCACAATATAATAGTCTCAAGCCCTCTTGAATATACAGTTGTCTTCAATTTACAACCAAAATTGAACTCAATTTTTCTGTTTCTAAGTGAGATGATTGTTAAGTGAATTTTGCCCCATTTTACAATATTTCTTGACACAGTTGTTAAGTGAATGGCTGCAGTTGGTTAAGTTTGTAAGAGTTGATAACTGAATCTGGCTTCCCCATTGACTTGGCTTGTTAGAAGTGTTTGCATGACTCTGAGACATGGTTTTAAATATGAGTCAGTTGCCAAGCGTCCTAATTTTGATCACATGATCGTGGGGATGGCTGCAACAGTCAGAAGTCTGAAAAACAGTCATACGTCGCCTTTTTCAGTGCTGTTATAACTTTGAATGGTCACTAAATGGTTGTAAGTCAAGGACTATCTGTATGGCCTTTATAATCAATCTCAGACAGGCCACATGATAGAAGATTATCAACATGTTGGAAACATGACTCCTCATTGCCTGGAGTCAATTTGCCAGTGTTATTAAAAATAAAAAAAGATGCTAATTGGATAACAGATATAAATATTTTAAAATTAAGCATCAAAGGGGTGAAAACCTAGTGTTCTTTCAAGGGTTAATCACTACAAGGAGACAGCATAGACTATGCAGAGAACTTACTGACTCAGTCTAACATGCTAATATAATGTCAATTTTTATTCAGTATGGTTTCCTTCAAATGTACAGGAATTAAAAGTCTCTGTTGATTATGAATTTTGAGAGTCGCAGTTCTGAAGTCCACAGGATTGGTGAAGACTGGATTGGTCTGAAGCAGTGTTCCTCAAGTTCAGCATGTATAGAAATAATTGAATTCTTTGCTATACCTTGATTTTATTGTCTGCATTTCTTTTAAAAAGTTATTTGACAGACGTGCAGGATAAATTATGCATTCAGGTTATTCTATTTCAACTAAGCTTCATCTAAGCTTCATATTTAGGGGCAAGTTCATTTGGCAATATTTTGTGTAGGTTGTACTTATGGCTTTATTAAAATTGCAACATGCCAGTTATTGCAGCAAAGGATATAAATATTTTTAAATAGTTGCCTTCATTTATTTATTTATTTATTTTGTCGCATTTCTATGCCGCCCAACTCCCAAGGGACTCTGGGCGGCTTACAACAAAGAATAAAACAATGCAAACAGTCCCATAAAAAATGTTAAAAAGAAAAACATTAAAACATTAAAAACTTTAAAAACGTTAAAACACATGCACTCCAATTCGTGGCTGGGTCTCGCAAGATCATTATAATGAGATCAACGGACCCAGGCCTGCTGGAAGAGCCAGGTCTCCACCGCTTTGCGGAAGGCCAATAGGGTGGGGGCGGTCCGGACCTCAGGAGGTAATTGGTTCCAGAGAGCCGGGGCAGCCACAGAGAAGGCCCTCCCCCGTGGGCCCGCCAGCCAACATTTTGCTGACAGGACCCGGAGGAGACCAACTCTGTGGGATCTTACCGGTCGCTGGGAGCTATGTGGTAGAAGGCGGTCTCGAAAATAGCCTGGCCCTGAGCCATATAGGGCTTTAAAGGTAATGACCAACACCTTGAATTGCACTTGGAGACTAATAGGGAGCCAGTGCAGCTCTCGGAGAATTGGTGTAATGTGGGTGTATCTAGGCGCACCCACTATAACTCGCGCGGATGCATTCTGGACCAACTGTAGTCTCCGAACACTTTTCAAGGGTAACCTCATGTAGAGCGCGTTCAAAGTCATACTTGGCAGAAAGTAGATTTGGGGGTGTGGTTTTTTTTGCATATTTCATTTCTTCTCTCAAAGATACAAAATACAAAAAGGCGCCAAGAAGATATAAAAACATATAGCAATGAGGATTTTTAGTTGATTTTGTTTTTGTTGTTTTCTTTAAGTTTCGGTGGAATGTGATAAACATTTGCAGCATATATTTAATAGTAGGATCTTAGCAAAAAATCTTCCAAAAAATTAAGACACATATCAGTGAACTAGCACAAATCTGAAAAATACATTTAAATAAATTTAGTTTTGTGCTTTTGGCATTCCTAAATATGTGGAGAGAGAGGATGATGGTCTCTACTACCATATGAATCAAGGAATATTGCCTTTTAGCACAATTTAGAAGATATCACTGCCGTTTGTCTGAAATGGTATTGGGGAATGGTGGCTAACCTTTTTTTCCTTGGGTGCCGAAAGCATGCGCGTGCGCACGATAGTGTGCGCATGCGTGCCCACACCCATAACGCAATGTCCCATGCATGTGCACCCCCCACCTTGTTTTGGGCCTAGCAGGTCTCCCTGAAGCCTCTGGAGGCCAGAAATGACCCGTTTCTGGACTTCCAGTAAGCCTGTTTTTTGCCCTCCCCAGGCTCTTGTGGCTTTCCTGGAGCCTCCAGGAGGGCAAAAACGTCCTCCCCCAGCCCTCTGGAGACGCTCTGGAAGCAGGAAACAGCACGTTTCCAGACTTCCAGGAGGCCCATTTTTCGCCCTCCCAGAGCCTTCACGTCCTGTACTGGCATCCAAACTGGCCGCGTGGAGACTCCTGGGAGGGATGGGCAGTGTGGCGGGCCAGCCGAAAATCAGCTGGCCGGTGCACACACGTGTGGTGGAGCTGACGTAGGGCAACAGCTTGTTTGCCCACAGAGATGGCTCCACATGCCACCTGTGGCACGCGTGCCATAGGTTCACCATCACAGGTCTCCTGCTTGATCAGGAGGTTGGACTGGAAGACCTCTAATGTCCTTTCCAACTTCATTATTCTGTTATGAAAGGGCCAAGGTTGCATTTCTTGCATTTCCAGGAAAATTTGAAAAAACCCCACCTATTTCATATTCTAAATTATTCGGCAATAACGAATAAGATTTTTGAATAGTTTGATTGCATATAAAGGAACTTCTTATGTCTCTTTCAACAGCAGTGGTACGAATGATTAATTATAATTACTCTATTCCAAGAATAAATCTTTATAATATGTAAATATACACCCTGACGGGTCTTTTGTATATAGTTAAGAAAATGTCCCATAATGATAGAGCTCAATTTCTGATCAGTTGTTTAATGACCATTTGGATCATAGTCTTGTGAAGTGTGCTTTTGACCATTGGAATGTGTTGTACCTCACTCATCCCTGTGGTCACATGACTGTATTTCAGGCACTTGACAACCAGCTCACGTTTACAATTGGTTGTAGCTTCTTACAATTACCTGACCATGATTTGCAACATTTTTTGTCAATTTCTCAGACTTGTTTCCAGTTTCTGGCAAAAAGAAACCCTACCCATTTAGGAGAATGCATTTGCACTTATAACCATGTGATTTGTTTAACTGGGGTGAATCAGGTCCAGTTATGACATCATGACTTGCAATTGTTGAGGACTACCTGTAAATATTTTCTATGTGTAAGGACAGACCTGAAATGCAATGATAATTCTAACTTCACTCATTCAGCGGCCCTCCAGCTGTTTGGGATAGGAACTTCTGTAATATGCAATGACTTTGAGAGATGGTCTCAGTACATTTGGAAAACATCAAATTAGATGAAGCAGATATGCAGCTACATAGTAAGCATTAATCTTAACAGATTCTTATTTCAGAGTAGACATGGATAAAATCACATTCTGAAATAATATGACCTGAGTACCCTGGAAGATCTGAATTGGAAACATATAGACTATAGGAAATAATCTAAGCTAAGGTCAGTTTTTTGGGTGGATTGGGCATAAAATTAGTATGGAACATTTTATTATTATTTGATGCAACAACAATAAAGAGTTCATAAAGAACATTCTTAATTTCAAATCTAAAACCTCAGCTATTTCCCAGACTAATATTGTCTCTTACATTGGCTACAGAAATTAATTAATGTAAAATTAATTTGTTGAAAAGAATGTAAATGCACTAATTTTTCCAGATACTGGCATCGGTCGCTGAACCCCAGAAAATTGGTAGAAGTGAAATTTTCTCACTTGAGCAGAAATATGACATTACAGAGAACAATGAAGCTCTACAGACTTCCTGATGTAAGCAATGCGTCCACCCAGAGGACCCTCATTCTCACATCAAAATAGCCTTCTGTCCCTTCCAAGGCAAGCTTTTCATTTGGGGGAGGCAGTACTGTGCAAAAGGGGAAGGGATACAATGGTTGTTGGGCGGAACTTCCAAAGAATAGATTGTCCTGGAAAAAGGAGTTGCGTATGTAGGCACACCTGGCATCAGAAGACATTTTATGTAAAGATGTGGATGGTTGGAGATTAAGTACTATTTTCTTGAATATATGATACTTTATGTCCTTATTTGAATATACTAATTATTTTTTGAGCTCTTGAGGAGAAGGCACATTATAAGAAGATCTTGAGAAGTCACATTATAAAAATCTCTCTGGTACCCATGGAAAGCACTTAATAGTAATAGTGAATTCTAAGGCAACAAAGCACGATATAGTTGAATTCTTTTAGTTCAGAGGAATTCCTTTGATAAGCATGCAGAGAGAGAGAGAGAGAAGTTTATAACTGATTGTGCTCTTTCTTTAATATTTAGTAATTGTTGAGAAGAATGAATGGAAGTGTGTGCAAAACACTGCTTTTGATCAGTTGAGTATGTATACTAAGCTTCCAGAAATGCTCAGTGAGAAAAGTTTGGAACTGTAGTCCCAATGCCTCTTGATTGTTGCCTCTGGCTGAATACTTTCCTGTTGATGACAGCCTACATGAGGTATTAGCTCTTTGAATTTCTGTCTTCTTTCATTATAATAAGGCCACAAAAACCTCAGGCTTGAGACCTATGGAACGAAAAGATATCAAAGCAGTGCAAGAGTTGGTTAACAGTTACTTGAAGCAGTTCAATCTTGCTCCTTTTATGGACGAAGAAGAAGTGGCTCACTGGTTCCTGCCTCAGGATCATATTATTGACACCTTTGTGGTAGAGGTGAGAGAGAGGCCCCTCCCAGCTTCCTTTTCCTACTGAAACTCCTCCCATATAGAAACCTTTCCTCTGTTGTTTTCTTTCTAATGAGGTTTCTGTGCTTGATCGGAGGGCTAAAACATATATAAACTAATTTGGGCCAAAATTTGTTTTGTAATTTCTCAAAAGGGTTCTTTCCCCATAACCAGAGGCTTAATCTTTTTTTCTCCCTCTTGCAAATGTTCCTGAGGCTATTTTTATTGTTGAGGGGGTGAGGGTGAGAATGGAAGTTGGAGACTTCCAACTTTTTGTAGGAGATTGTTGTTTTTAGTTACACACCTTCTTTTCATTCTGATGTTCATAATCCCTTCACACTGGAACAGGAGAGTGCATAAAACAAATATTTGTCACTGAAGAATAGAGCATTGGTTGGAACATCAGAGGGATATCCCAGGTTCAGAAAGATCCGAGTTAAAGTGTTCAACTAAAACTGGATGGACTCGGGTTCCTTGCTCTGCCACACTATTTTACATTGAATTATCACAACCTGTAATTTTGCAGATCAACTGGGTGAATTAAGAGGTATAATACTGTAGAGTCCTTTGCTTGCATTCCTTCATGTTTTTTTTCTTTCTTTTCCAGAATTCAAATGGTGTTTTAACTGACTTTCTGAGTTTCTATACATTACCTTCAACAGTCATGCACCACCCTGCTCATAAAAGCCTCAAAGCAGCCTATTCCTTCTATAATGTTCATACAGAAACCCCTCTCTTGGATCTAATGAATGATGCACTCATTATAGCAAAGATGGTAGGTAATGCAATAGTTCCTTTATTTTCATTTGTTTGGGTTGTTTTACAGAGGAGTGAAGTTGGCTTAAAGCCTCACCGATTTACTTGCTTCAGCAAGAGCAGTACAACCTCTAAGCAAGTTGCGATAATGTTTTCTTTGCCCCTTGGAACTTTTTGTTTCAGCCTCGTCCTCGATAGGAAAGTGTTAAGAGGCACAGCCTCTGCTTATTCAAAAACCCTGTGCTTTCCTTTCAGCCCCAGATGACTTTGGGGTTGCACGTGGTTTTTCCAAATCAAAGCTTTATATCTGGGTTACTTCGGTTACAAGAAATGAAAAGTCATAGTCAGATATGACTTCTATGACCTACTGTAGGAACGTAGCAGAGAAAAAGGTTTGTCTGTGTTGTGTATGCATTGTGATCATTACACAAGGTTACTAATGATGTTAAGATTTTCAGGTTCTAAACTGTAAACGTATAGAGTCTTGTGTTGGTTTGGTTGACGTTTCTGAGCTTTAGTGTGTATGCTGTTGCAATCTATATGTTCCTGGATTGTGTTGATGTTCAGTGTGTTGAGTAAACTCATTGCTAAAAATATAAAACGTTTCTGATTTATTGAGTTTGTTGTTTGGAAGATACAGAACCATTAGTATAATGTTTGGAATGTTCTTGGTTTTTGATGGTAGTTAACATTACTCATGCAGCTGCTTCAGCTTCTTTTTTTTTTGAAAATTACACCTTCTACAAACAGCACAAATGTCCAGCCAAAGAAAAGCATGTTCAATTGGCTGCTTCCATTCCTTGCTATAGGGTGTGAGGGGAATATCTTTTCCTTTTTTCAAAAGCCATTCTCGTTTCATTTTTCGTACATTAGAAGAATCAGCACCACACTTAACAGAAATAGCAATAGCATTTAGACTTTATATACTGCTTCTCAATGCTTTACAGCCCTCCCTAAGTGGTTTACAAAGTCAATATATTGCCAGGGGTGGGTTCTACTTACCTTTACTACTGGTTTGTAACGGGATTGCACACACACACTCACTTCGCTCACGCATGCACAGATCGCTTCTGATGACGTCAGGGTCAGTGGGAGGAGTCTCCCGGCAGTTTTATTACCAGTTCTATAGAACCAGTCCGAACCGGGGGTAACCCACCATTGCATATTGCCCCCAACAATCTGGGCCTCAGAAGCATGGAAGGCTGAGTCAACCTTGAACCTGGTGAGATTCAAACTGCCAAATTGCAGACAGCTGGCAGTCAGCAGAAGTAGCCTGCAATACTGCATTCTAACCCTTGTGCCATCACAGCTCTTATAGCTCTTAAACTTACATATACCACCCCATAGTGCTTTACATGAGTGGTTTACAAAGGTTAGCATATTTCCCCCAACAATCTGAGTCCTCATTTTATCAACCTCGGAAGGATGGAAGGATAGCTGAGTCAACCTTGAGCTGGTCAGGACTGAACTCCTAGCTATGGGCAGAGTTAATCTGCAATGCTACATTCTAACACTGTAGTTTGTGGTTAAAAAACACACACTAGAGTATTGAAAATCTTTTGTTCCATATGTATACAGTTCAAAGTAAAATTGGGTGTAATGTCCCTTCCAGTTGTATCTTTTTATCATGTTAAGTTAGTATCTTATTGTAACTAGAATTCTAGGAGGAAGGACACAGCTATGGTGTGTTCAAAGCAATTTGTACTGTAATTAATTATAGAAGTACGTGCCTGTCATACAGAATGCTTGATAGATTGCAGAGTTTTCTTTCTAAATAAAATCTTTTACCAACCCTTATATAAACCGAATTAGAAAATTAATTTGTAATATCTTTATGTTGCCAGAAAGGATTCGATGTGTTTAATGCACTGGACTTGATGGAAAACAAAACATTCCTGGAAAAACTGAAATTTGGTATTGGTGATGGCAATCTGCAGTATTATTTGTATAACTGGAGATGTCCTGGCATGGATTCTGAAAAGGTAACATATTTATACCAGAGAGTTTGATTGTCCTTTCTATGCTTCTGGAGATAACAAATAGTAACCAATACTTCCAGAAGATAAGGTGGTCAAAAAGGCTGACATATAGTAATGTCCAGATTCTCTATAGATTCTTCATTTGTGTAATGATATGAAATATACTGAGTAGCTCCTCCAATAGCAATGCTTCTCTGTGCCTGCCTGCCTTCCCTCTATATTTGGGATTCCCCACACAGTGCCTGTGAATAATAATGTATTAGTAAAGACTTCTCTTGATGGACTCTGCATCATTGGAAAATTAGCATGCTTGAGAACACTACCTTCATTTTCAAGAATACCTCTGGCCTCCTAGGTACGGAATGGAACAACTTGCCATAGCCAACACACTGGGTCAACCAGCTATGGGACAACTCACTACAGGACAATTCAGCAAATACAAAAGTAAATTAATTTCAATGGAACCATGGCTGATAATAAAGTCAATCCAGAAATGTAAGAGTTACAATAATTTTGATGAAAAAGTGGTCATTAAGAATAAATGTAACTGAATGAACCGATCAATACAGAATTGAACTGTCCTGCAGCAAGTTGGCCGCAACAAGGGGTCCTGCACCCGCCCCCCAAGTAAGCATAGGCTCATTGCACATAGCTCCCCAAAATTCCCCACCTGGAGTTGGAAGTGAGAATTGGGGGGCCGATAGAAAATGTGGTGATTTTATAATTGCCCATACTCGTAAGAGCCACCGTTTGGCCAACTGACAGGATTCTTCTCCCTGTGGCAATACTTCCTTGTGAGAATGCTTATAGTGCTCCCAAGTGCCACACTATACTCCAAGCATGAAGGACTTTGGTTTTATCTGCAGTAACGTCTATGTTATCATTTTTCTAGGTTGGTCTTGTATTACAATAAGGTGAAAGGACACTTATATTTATAATTCTTGGAAGTCATCATCTGAGCTGTTGGATGCTCTTGGATCCGTACAGTTCAAGAGGAGCCAAAGCACAATGCCTGATGAACTTAAATCTATCAGTCAAACCTTAGGGGAGGGAGGGCTACAAGAAGAAGTGAAGATTTCTGAGCTCAACTAGCCCTTCAACTCTGAATAGGAACAAAAACGCTTATGAACCTTTTACTGTTTGTCAATGAAAAAGAAATAAAGCACATTTGTTTAATTTTAAATGCTTAGCTCGCATCTTGATGCAAAGGGTACTTTTCTCTGTTTCCCTGCATAAAAATAATTAAAAAAAGACTTTTTGTACAATAATGAAGTTGCAGTGGTGGAATAGAGTACAAATACTTTACTGTAATGTGACTGAACTGCTGCATTTCTATTTATTAAGTAGTGGTGTATGTTTATCAATGTAACGAAATGAAGGAGCCAATTTTGAGTATTTCTGCTTATTTTCATGACGTGGATGTCATCATCGTCAAGAGAAAAGCTTTGGGAATATGACTGGTAGGAAAACATGCAGATTTGGGATATCTTTTGTAATGTGGAGTGGAACAGACATATGCTGGTTGGAATAGTACATGTTTCTCCATAAACGATGCTGCCAAATCAATAAAAATACAAATTTGTAATTTGATCTTCAATAGATCAGTGACTTGATTATAGTACAGCACTGCTGAATGCACATGTTGATATCCTTCCTGAGCTATGGTATTCTTTTCATCTTACAGTTCTGAAAAAGAAAATTTTACACTGTTTTTGATGGTACAATAACAGCAGCCTGTACATGAAACTGAGAATATATTAGTACTGTTATGAAGATGTGTTAAGATGAATGTGTTTTAAGGCTTTTGCAGAATTGCACATATTCCTTTTGTCTACTTGTTTTTTAACTGAAAAATATGTTTGTATAAATAAGTAAATTTGTTGCTGGTAGTAGCAATATAATTCTGGTTTGGGGAAGAGGTAGTTTCATAGTACACATTTGTATACATTTTTGTTTTTTTTGTTGGCAGAAATATGTGCCAAAATGTCTTGGTTCATATCTTATGGTAAATCTTAATATGGTTTTGTTTGGCTTAGTGTGTCATGCAAATACAACCTACCATAATTTCTTTAACAAACAATAGTTTAGCAAAATGCATGAACCAGGTCAAGATATCTGTTTCTTTTTGGATTAATAGAGTTCAGTTTAGAATATGGTAAAGCGCTGCATATGCAACCACATTTTCAGCAACCGTTTATATATAGATTTGTCAAACTGTTTTCACACATCACAGTAAGCCATTGTTTGTTGGAAAACTATAGTTAGTTTATAGACAACAAAATATTAGTTTGGTCAATTTTTGAGGCATTTTTGTTTCCTTTATTTTAAGCTCAATTATTTGCCCTTCTCCAACTGGCATTTTCCCAATGCATCGGACTACAACTTCTAGAATCTTCCCGTAAATAAAAACAGCAGCCTCATTTGAACATAGTGCCAAGCCATAACATCATTTGTTTGGTTTTTGACTGCATGTTTGTCAACCCCCATAGGATGCTTGACATGCTATTGGAAGTGGCTATCTAAATTTTGATATTTCTTGAATAATTCTTGTTTTTCCACATTTCAAAATAGTATCTTGATCCCATCACATTTTTGAGAGGTGTGGAGGGGGAATTGTAGATGTTTAATAGTGACCTAAACATCTTTTCAAGGTAGATTCATCAAGTACAAAGTTTTTGGAGAAAAAGTGTTATCAATATTTGATCCTAATTTGTTAGTAGCCTCGGTAGACAGTATAACAAGCAGTTTAACCAAATACTGAAACGATATTTGTACATTTCTAAATGTGGAAATTTTCAAAGAGATTCCAATAGCCTAGCTTAGAATGAACATGAAATCATGTGTTTTCGTCACTCCTAAATCAAAAACTGCTAATTCGGTTGCTAAATCTCAAGCTTGTACTCTTTTCCTATTGTTAGATAGCTAATGAGGGAAGGGACTCTTGTACATGTTTTCCCAAAAGCTGGTGTTGCATATAAACCAGGAATTAAAATTTGAAATGTTGCCAGAAACCCCCAAAGCATTAATCCTGGATTTTACATTAGTAGTTACAAAATCTGTGCTTAAAAGTAACTTACACTTTGTTAACAAACACAGTTCTATACTTCCTATCCTGTTTCTCCCTCAAATTTTCCTGTTTCTACAACCCGTTCTATAGCAATTTAATGAAGTAAGTTTATTCTGAACAATTATTTTAATTATACAATCAGGACCAATTTTAGTGCTTGGATTTAATAACATATTTATCTGAATATGACAATACTGTGTCCTCCTCTTAGAAATCTGCTTTTCTGGACCAGTTCACCTCACAAGCTATTAATCCAAAAGCCTGAAGTCTCAAATGCCTCTCTATCTTTGTTCAGGGAACTGATCTGATAAGCTAAAGAAATTTGTATTATTAAAAGCAAAATGCATCTATGCTCAGTTCTGCATGTCCTACTCAATGAGAATCACAACTGTTTTAAGAAAAAATATTAAACAGAAAAAGTCTGTGCTCTCAAATGTGCAGCTGTTTTCAGTTACAGCCTCTTAACAGTTCTTGAATTTTATTGGCACCAATGAATGTTTCAATAAATGTATCACTTTCATACTATTTTGTTTTGAATAATTATGTTTAGCCTACATTATTTGTTACTTCAAAAACCAGGATATTCTGTTTAAAATGATACAACCTGTACAGACTGGGGAAGATGGAAGTTGTAATCCAAAATATCTGGAAAGCACCAGATTAGGAAAGGCCCTCCTAATTAACTGTAGAAGGCGCTATGAACTGAGTATGACTTTTACCCCAACATCAGGTACAATGGCCAGCTTTTCCATCTGGCCTACTTAAGGTTACCAATATCACTAGAAACAAATTTTACATATACATGTACACACTTGTAGAATACATACATATTTCTATGCTGTATCTACCTACAGAAGCCACATTCCAAAAAAGTTATAGCCAGGATAAATAAATTATATTTATTGAATTCATAATTCTTAATAAAAATCACTTAGAACAACAGGCTATTTATACAATGAACTATTTTTTTTGTTGGCATACATGAACACATTTCTCCTAGCTATTCACTGGCTAGAAATTAGTTAAGGGAAGGCAGAAGAAAAATATAAAATAAAAAATAAGGGGAAGAAATAACAATGGAAAAAAAGGAAACTATTTTTTAAGCATTAAATATATTAAGCAGCCCCTTCTAGATGGGTACATTTAAAAAAAAAATCAGATGGCTAGTTTCAGTTCAAATTCAAAACTAATTTGCAAAAAATGTTTTCAGTGATATGACATTATTACACATCATAGTTTGGGCAAATGGAAATGCAAACTAGAAATCAACATTACTTTGAAATACGTTTTTTAGTTTTGGGAAGTTTGCGACATTTTTTTGGATTGGGAACAACATTTTTAACTTTAAGTGTCTGAAGAGCTATGGTAGGGGAAGCGAGTAGGCTGTTCTCTGCTAGTTTCCACTTGTGACTCAGAGAGCTGCCTACTGGGGTAGACTCAGTGAATTTGGTAGCTGAAGCTGTCATAACATCAGTATCACTTACTAAAAGTGGTTCAGTTCCATGCTGCATCCATGGCAGATCTAAACTAGGAATTCGTGGAATAATTACTTCAAGTACCTTTGCAAACACATCAGCAGTTCTTTTAAACCCCAAAGCCAGCACAGATGTTAATCCAAGCAATGGGGCTAATGTTTCGCTGAGACGTGGAACTTGCCCAGCTGGGATAGCTCGACTTGCACTGAGTGGAATCAGATGAGATGTTAGCAAGGCAGGTTTGGCAGATTTGCATACCAGTATAAGAGACAATTCATTTTTTTCTAAAGCTCTAGTTACTTCATTTATCCCAATAGCAAGCTGGTTCCTGATTTGCACATCGGACCACCCATGTGCTTTTGGGTCATCGGCCCCTTTGTCCTCATTAACTTTGCTCGGAAGATTGCAACATTCTTCCTTCTTTCGCCTTTTGCTGGAAGTGGGTTTCATTCTCTTCCGATCCTCTATCTTTTTAAACCCAATCTGCTTAATGACTCCTTCCAAGGCCTGCAAGACAAAATGCATATCCTCTCCTGGTAGTGTACACCATTGTGGAATATACGGGTTGTTCAAAGATGTTTTCACAATTTGTTTGGATTTACGAGCTGATCCTTTCCCCCGTAGAACAGACATTTTGGTGTTCTTACACTTTGGAACTCAATCTGAAATGAACACAAGAAAAAAGGTTTTAAGTATTTTGCTTAACGTAGCATTAATTAAAAATAATAAAATGTCCCATTTGCTTTTCTTATATTGACTTTATTCTATGCTATTAAAAGAATCCGAAGCTGTAATTTTACAGCTGAAAAATATTTATCCCTGTGGTATTGGAAAAAAGCTATACCCAAGTAGCTACAGTACTGTTAATGATTTGCCTATAATAATAATACAAAACCTAGCGTTCAATCAATCAATGTAATATTTTCACTTGGGGCACAAGTAACTAAAATTAAATTACCATTTTCTGAATGCATTATGCAAAAACTTCTCTCTCCTGAAAAGTCTGAAAGATGGAAGGAAAAAGATGAGGCAGATAGGTGTATTTGGTTACATCGGCAATGGGAACACTGTTGGAAGCTCTGAAGGACCAGGCTGGAAATAGATCATGCTGGATGTCTAACTAAAATGATACAAACTTGATGACAAATCAATTGATCAACAGAAAATCCCAGCAGGGACTGGAAGAGCTGGAGCATCAAGAAAGCCTTTGAACCAATAGATTGCCAAACTCTTGTGCTTACAATATGGGGAAAAAATTAGATCATCTCAGAAATGGAAGGGTTTTTTCTCTCCCATTGATGTTAATTGTAGAAAAAAGTAAATAAAGGTAAAATAAAAGAGAGAAAAATGTTTATCTAGGCTTGTACAAACCAACAGGGTTTAAGAAGTGCCAACTTGTCTGCCAAATATTGTCATATCCTTCCCCTATTGCAAGATAATTCATGCTATTAGTTGCTAGCAACCAACATATGTATGTATTCCAACCACATATGCTGTACACATAAAAGAATGATAAATAATAGGAAAAAACAGCTATGAAGTATTCCTGAACATCCATCCCTTCCTGGTCACAAAAGAGTTGTGTCCTCATAATACATGCATCCATAACCTGATAGTTTAGGTGCTCACAATATTAACTATTCAAATGGCAGGGATTTATACACTAAGCTAAAATAGGCTTGGCTAAGTTGTTATCCTCCCTTGAAAAATATATAAGGTTGGGAAAGGTGGAATGAACATGAAGTCAATTAGAGAAATGAAGGGTGACCTACTGGAAGACGTAAAGGCAAAGATGTGTTGGAGCTGGCTCATGAAAGTCAATTTTAAATTTTGTAGAAACTGCTCAGCCAGTTGTCAGCAGAGCTGAGCCACAATGTCCAGCATGCCAATCAGCTGTTCAGAGGCTAGCAGCACAGAGAAATGGACTGGAACTGGCAGAGCCGGCTGCAAAACATCTATAACCTAAAGAACCAAGTTGAAAACTGATAATCCTGGATAATCTATGTGGTTCCAGGAGCTGATACCAACTAAAAGACCCATCATCAAGTTTCTTATCCAGTGTGTCATGCAAAATAGCCAATTTTTAAGCTTTCTGTTATAAAGAGCATTGAGATCAACCTTTGGAGACTACATGGACACACTCATGCTTCCTTGGCAAAAATATGGAAACAACTTCTTTGATGCTTTTATCATTCCCAGATTCCACCACCACCAGCCCCCAATAAAGGTCCCGTTCTAATTTCAGAATTTTGGGACACCTTTCTCTGCTAAATGCCGCAAACCGCTGACAGGCAATAAAATAGTGAGGTAGAACCCCCAGAACAATAAAGCAAACAGACTCAGAAACTTCAGGTTGTGCACAGAAACGCAGCTTTCGAAACCAGCCACTGATACAAATTAAAAGAAAGAAACGCTCCTTAAAGCTGCAATAGTAGACATAACTTAATAGAGAAGGAAAAGATAATCGCCCAGTAAAGTTCCCCCCCCCCTTCCTTAAAGGAGAGCTATTGCATGGAGCTCTTCCATCCGATTTAAAGGGAATTCTGGGTTCGCTATCAACGAAGCAGGTAAAAGGCAACGCTACATACACGTGCGCCTTCACTCACTTGGCTAACCAGCAGCTTCACGTGTCTCCAACCCACCGGGAGGTGCACCACCTGCTTCCCGTCCAAACTCCAGCGGCGCGATCAATTTCTCCCTGCACCGATGGAAGCGCAGCGGCGCTCACGCAGAAGCAACGCTCCGTGGAAAGGGCATCTTTCCCACGCCGTGTTCAGCAGAGCAGGAAGCGGAAGCGGCCGGCTGCGCGTCAAGTTTAGGCTCACGCTCGCCTCGCTAGCGCCTCTTCGCGTCTGGGCGGACTCTGGACGGAAAGGAAAGGCGCGCAACCGATCAACTCCAGATTGCTGTGAACAGCCCCTACCTTTCTGCATTCACGCCTCTCCTGAGCGCCCCCCAATGGCCATAACCCGCAGAATTGCCTGAACTATAACGACGGTTAAAAAGCCAGAACAAGAATTCCTGAAATGGGATCTTTTAAATAAAAATCATGCCGCTAATAGTGCAAAAACAAAACAAAACAAAACAAAAGGACACATCACAAAGTAAAAACAATAAATAGGAAGCCACAGAGAAATTATAACTCTTACAAGGTTCGATTAGCCTAAGGTGACCAGATTTTAACATTGGTAAAGAGGGACATTGTGGGCGTGGCTTATTTTGTGGGCGTGGATATCTGGTCATGTGACTGGGTGGGCGTGGCTAGCTGGTCATGTGACCGGGTGGCCATGGCTATGTGTATAGGGTAAGGTGAACAGATTTTAACATTGGTAAGAAGGACACCATTGTGGGCGTGACTTATTGTGTGGGCGTGGCTTGGAGGCCATGTGACTGGGTGGGCGTGGCTAGCTGGTCATGTGACCGGGTGGCCATGGCTATGTGTATAGGGACTACTCAGAGGGCTGAAAAGTCATTTCTGACAGGTCCTCACACTTTTGACTGGTCCTCACACTTATGACCATCCTCACATTTATGCCCGTGCAGTATTCTTAACAACCATGTCACTCATTTCACAACTGCTTCTCTTCACCATGGTGACAAGATAGGGCAAAAATGTAAAATGTGAGGACAGTCGTAAGTTCGAGGACTGGTCAAAAGTGTGAGGACCAGTCAAAAATAACTTTTTCAGCCTCTGAGTAGTCCATATGCATTAAAGGATACAGCAATAGAGAGGGATGAAGGAATGGAAATTAGAGTAGGAGTGAGGGTAAGAGAGGGAGGAAGAGAGGAGGAGAAGGAGAAAGGAAGAGGAAGTAGGGAGGAGAAAAAGAGGGTGGGGGGGAAGAGAAAGTAAGAAGGAAAGAAAAGAGAGTGGTGGTAGGTTTGAGGAGAAAGATTGCTGTACAATAAAAAAGATGAAAGGGAAGAAAGCCAACCCCAAGCAAATATAAAGATATTAAGATTAAGAATGAATTGTTAAACTTTAAAGAATAAAAGAGAACAAATATGAATAAATGGCAATAATTAGAAACACACATACAAACATACAATGTATTTTCTTTGGACAGAATATTTGGCTGGTTCACAAATTTAAACAGCGTTTAGTCATTTCAATTAAATTTACAATTTCTATATTTCCTTTTTGCCATATTTATTCCTCATCTATTTTTTTAAAAAAAACAATATTACCCTTCATCCTCATCTCTGATCTTAATCAAATTCAATTTTTCCCTTCTATTCTATATTATACCCCTTCCCATTGTCATCTATTTTTATATCCATCCTCACATTGGTTAATTATGTAATTATGTAATACAGTTGTTTAATACAAATTCAACATTTTAATATAAATCAATTAGTTATATAACTATCTTTTTTGTATATTAATCAATATGAACATGAATATTCCAATTATTTCCATGCAATCCAATTTCTTACAAATCAATTAATTCTATTTACCAATAATAATAAACCAAATAATTTCCCCCATATATTCCTCCAAACCACAACTTAACCATTTCTGCTTTCAACACAATATACAATTATTAATAGTATCTCAATTATTACAATTCCCTAGTTAAATAGAGCTTTTTTTCTTTTGTGTTTTAAAATCTTGAACTCTCCTCTTTTGCCCAAAATTTCCCATTGTTTGCAGTTTTGTACCTACCTTTTTTGGTGAGGAAAAAGAAAAAGAAAAGAAAGAAATCTCTCTCTGCCTCATTTTGTCACGTTGCAGGTTTAGTTTCGCTTTCGCCTTTGTTTTCAGTATAGCTAGGGGGAAAAAATCTGCTCCAGGAACTTTTTGCAGCTTTTTGCAGCTAATTAACCTAGCGGAAGCTGTTAACAGGGGCTGTTTTTTCTATTTTTGCAGGCATGGGTCTATTCATTTTTTTTTAACACTGATCAGCTGTAGGTCGGCCCTTTGAAGCCCCCGCGGCAAGAGTTTAAAGAGTTTTTTTTCCCTCTAGCCATCAGCGGGGATTCAGGAGGCAGCCGGGACTCAGGAGGCAGAATGAAAAATCGGGACTTTTTTAAAACGCCGCGGACGCGGGACAAATTGCTCAAAAGCGGGACTGTCCCGCCAAAAGCGGGACGTCTGGTCACCTTAGATTAGCCCTTAACACTTCCAAATGTATCCAGAGCGATAGAATAACTTGAAACATCAACATTTTTCTCCTTGCCAGCCCAAATAGTAACATTCACCAAGCCAGGACTAGTGATGCAATTAAGATTAAACTGCCATTAAGAACCCAGACTGGTCCAGTTTACTAGCATATCATCTGGTGGGACCAGGAAGAGAGTTTTTTCTCCTATGCTTCCTCACTCTGTGGAACATCATTCCCCTGACCTTGGATTGGCCCCGCTAACCTCTTTAGGAAGGCCCTGAAGACTCTCCCACCATGCCTAAGGGGTCTGGCAATGGTGGGGAGTTCTTACAATCGGTATCTTGAGCTGTTGCAGGATGAATTCTGCTGCTGATCATGATTTTTTAAAAAAATTATGAATACTTTTTGTATTTTTGTTCATTAATTTTTCATTTGTTTTTATTGGATTATTTTTATCTGTTGTGAACTGCCTTAGAGTTGCTTAGATGAGAGGGGTGAAAAAACTCCAGTAGATTAATTTAATATGATTCCAGATCTCACACAAAAATATGTCCCACATCAATTCTGAATAAAAATTCACAAATCTAGTCAACATTTTGAAATGGAAATGAATGTTTTAATCTGTCATTCCTCTTAAATCCTCGGAAATGGTGAATTAGGCTAGAAATTGACCCAGATTGTACGGGCAATAAACTGACTTTGTATAAATATACAAAAGTTTGAAGGCTATTGCTTAACGCATTGTAAGCTGCCCTGAGTCTCCGGAGAAGGGCAGCATATAAATTAAAGCAAAAAAAAAAAAAGTTGGTATCTGTAGAAAGTTAGCACCCACCCCTTTCCTGGAAGAGTGAAATATTTTAGGAAATATGAAAAAGGCAGAATATTATATTTCCCTGGATGAGAAATATGAGAAGCATATTTTACAGACAAAGCAGCTCCCACCTTCCTGCCCCTCACCCTTTGTCAATGGGCCATTAAGGCCTGGGCCAGTCTATTCTACATAACAAAGATCTACCTCCTTCAAGCACAGCCATAGTAGGAATTGCCAAAGATGGGATTAGCCCTCTACACAATAGCAGCAGAAACTCACCACATGTGACCTGGGAAGCACATGTGACCATCAGCCAGCAAGGCCCCCACCCCCTGGGAGTCTGACAACCAATCAGGATACTCTTTCGGGGCCCCAAGAAATGCAGAGCCAGAGAGAGCATAAAACCCGAGGATTTACTGTATCTGCCCTTTTCTGTTCAGGAACTCAAGCCATGTGATCCTGTCCACCATTAAACCATCTTTCCAAGCAGTCTCCATGTTTCCAGTGTCTGTTTCCCCACTTGGAGCAGAACCTAGAAGGATGTTTCTTCCAACATATCAGTATTTTATTTTTGTATCTATGACTGGCAAAAGATTGGGTTGGGTGGAAATTCTGCATTCTATGCAGCAATTCAAAATATTTTTTGGTAGAAAAATGATTTAGATCTTCAAGCATCAATCTTTTTCAGATTTCAATAATATAATATTTGATAAATTTTGCTGACCAAGAAATTGGCATTTCAAGCACTTTTCCCCAATAGGAAAGAAGCAAATAGCAGAATTAGATTCATCGTAAATTATCTTATTTTGCCAAGGCCTTCTAAATTGCATTACCCATTGGTTGGTTAGCTTGGCCTTAGCTGATTCTTTTTTGGTCCTTATGTGTCATCAATTTAACGTTGTCTCTTAGTGACTGGCCTTTTCCAGGATGATCTGTTTCCAAGCTAGCTCTTCAGGTATCTCAATAGTGGACCCATCAATGTTACAAGCAAGTCCATCCACTTTGCTACTGATCAATCCCTTTTCTCTTTCCTTCCACCTTTCTTAGTATTATAGAGAGTTGTATCTTTTCAAAATGACTCCAGATTACAATTTGCACCTGCCCAATTGCACCTTGGATGAAAATCTCTAGATAGCAAAATCATCAATATCTTGCTTCTTCAAAGTTCAACATTCACATGCTACACATTCATGTATCACAGAGAAAACTATTGCTTGAGTGATTCTATGAACAACCATATTCCAACATCTAAATATCATTTCCAAGTATTTTATTGTTACACAATCATGTGTTACGTCTGCTGTCTATTTCTTGATTGCTGGTCTCTTTACTATTGATGTCAACCCTAAAAGGCAGAAGTACAGTATCTACCCCTTTAATATCTTCACTATGAGTTCTAGAATCAGTGACTGTATCCACTACCTTTAGTTTGTTCTTTTTATTTAATAATCCCATTTGTTTTATTAGTCCTTGATTTTCATTACTAGAGTTTGAGATAATTTGCATTTTCAGTTATCACAATAATGTCATAAGCACAATGTATTTTTCTTTTTCCAGTTTTAAATCTAGTCATCTTCTTCCAGTCCAACCTTTCACTATATTATCTCATATAGGCTGAATAAATATTTAGTCTTGTCACATTGCTTTACCAACCTAGATCTAAACTGTTTTTTCATCCTGTAGCTTTCTCTCCAGCATATAGCTCTTCCTATAATCAATTGGTTGCAAATTACTTTCTCATCACTATCATAATTGTGAATAGTAAACAAGGCAGTTCCTAAATGAGAGAACCTATAGTGTTTTCTGACTTGCACCAGTCAGTGTTGTTTTGCATCCTGTTATTTTAATATAGGCAACTTCATTCCAGTAGGATCAATTACTCCTATTCTGGAAAGAATGACTACTCTCCTTGTCACTAAAAGCTGCATTTTATTTTATTTTATTTTTCCTTTTCACCAGGTGACATTGAGAAGAGTTCTGTCACTTTTAACCCACGTGACAATTTTTTTTTGTAAAACTGCAGTCGCCCCTCCCTTTTTTTAAATTGGTTTGGGAAGGGTAAAGAAACAGAGGAATCTACTAATCAGAGATTGTAATGAACACCAGGTCACTATCATGGCCAAAACCCAAATGAGTTGAATCCCATGAAAGTCACTCTTAATCCAGCCTCATTTCTAGTTTATGCACAGGAGACAAGCAATTTAAACGGCAGTGAGGAAAATCCCTTAAGAGTATTGGGGATGAGATTAGATATGCACATTTGGTTTTATTAAATAGAGAACCGGATTAGGATGCAATAAGGAGTCTCTTAAAATTTGCTGAGGAAAAGAAATAAACAAATGATTGTTAATATACTGTTTTATTGTACATTGTTTAATTATTTAAATTTTATAAGAAGCAAAGTCAGTTAGAAAGGATGTGCGTACCACATGCACACAAATACATTTTCAGAGTTGATTTTCTACAACTGAAATCAATAGGAGACATCAGAAACTGAAGAGCTTCACTCTAAGGCATCTAGTTTATATAATTAATAGTGAACTGTAGATAAGGCTGCTGAAAAACAAGGAATGTCCTTATTAATTCTGAGTATAAAATAACTGTTAAGAAAATCGCCAGAGGCAAAATCTCCCAATCCAATAAAATAGTCCAGCAGAGTTTGATCAATAGAATATTGATTAATGTATTTACCTGAAATACAATTTCTCCAAATAATTTACTTTTAAAATGAATTTTGCCTTAAGTTAATGAATTTTTCTCATATCTTTTAAAAAGGATGGTTATCTGTCAACTATTCTAAAGTTGTTTTCTTTTCAAATTAATATTTATTCTTTTCAGATTAATAACATAGAAAAGAAAAACTGGAAAAGGGGAAGACTGAAATGCCCCACTTTATTCTGATCTATTCTAACTTCATTTTAATTCTTGGTTAGAAAAAATCCAGGGGAAAGGATTTTAGGTGCAATTTTTTTAGCTGTCAAGGAACAAAAGCTGACCCTTGCTGGACACCCCCTTCCCTCAAGTATTGCTCCCTGATTCCAAGGCTGCACTTACATACTTTTCTGATTTAGGCATTGGTGGAGAAAGTTGCATAAGGCAGCTTTCTCTTTCAGCCTAACTCATTTAAGATGAATGTTGTGGGGAAAATAGGAGGAAAAAGATGTGCTGGACATGTTCGCTTCCTTAAATTATTTTAAAAATAATAAAGGCGGGATACAAATAAATAAAATAAAGCAATGAATTCTCAACTAACCACACCAGCTGAATTGACACAATTTAGTAGACACTGGACTGAAAGGGTCCTGTGAAAGCGATCTTTCTCTTCCTTTGACATATTTAGTCCCAAGCATTTTATTAGATATCTGTCCTTTCGGTGCCATGAAGTATATGAACTGTGACAATCAACTCTTATTGTGCTGACGACTATCCTCCAAAACGGAGGGCAGCCCCAAAAGAACCAACCGCGGCTGCCGCGACGCTGCGCACTGCAAGGAGGCTGCCTTTATCTTGCAGCAATCCCAATGCGCTGAAATCTGACCCTCTTTCTCTAGCTTCGAGATTCTAGCGGTTGCAGAACAATACCTCTGACCGAAGGCGAGGTTCCACTGCTGCTCCGCCTAGCAACCGCTCCTCCTCTGGCTCTGATGCTTGCTTTGCATTTATTTCCCTGCTTCGATGCTGCCCGAGTGCACCTCATCCCGAGTTTGTTTTGGCGCACTGAGTAGTACAGCCCCTGGAGTGACGTCACAAAGCCCCGCTCCAGTCACAAAACTGGCCTGTCCGGGCTCATAAAAAAGGCTGCGGGGGGGGGGGGGGGAAGCGCGCGCTTAGTGCTGGATCCGCTGACCATTCGTAAGAGCTCAGGTGTTGGGTGCACGGAGCAACATGACACTCCAGGTAATGAAATAAAAAAAGGGATGAGGAGAAAGAAGAAGGAGAAGTGCTTTTACATTTGTGACTTCTGGGCTTAATTGCACACGAAAAATTAGAACGTGAACAGGGGTTACGAAGCGGGTAAAGATCGTTGACTTGCTGGAAATCGGCTTAACTTCGGTTCGTCCTGTAAAATCCCACTTTTCCTTTAATCTGCGTCGCCGCCTTAGCGCGGGACATTGATTCACAGACTGGCCAAATGCGTTTTATCCTGACCTGTTATGCAAAGTGGACAGTTACTAGTTCTCGTGCGATGTGAATTAACCGGGTTAATTTAATTGACTAAGTGAACCGGGATTCTAATTAACCGTGGAAGAGATTAGTGTGAATAAAAGTAGATGTCTCCTTTGAGAAAAGTTGATAGTCCAATTCTGTATTCAGTAATTTTGGGGAAGTTTCTTGGCAGTCGGCAAAGACTGGTGAACTCTCCGCGTGTTTAATTAGACTGCGAACCATTACTGAAGCAAAAAAATGTAGGGCTTTGTTTCTGGGTGCAGGAGTTTCTTTTCTTTCTTGGTTGAGAAAGAAAAATCTCTACTGATTTAAAATGGGCTTGCTCTTTCAATTTTTCCCCCTTTTTTGTCTCTTACTGTGCCTGAGCACAGAAATAGGACTTTATACTTTTTCTATGCACAGTATAAATACGGTCCTTGGAAAGGTTTAGCACTTCAGACTTCATAATTTCTTCAGCCAGCTTGACTGCAGAGAATCTGGTTGATGTTCTCCAGGAGGCTATGCTATCCATTGAGAATAATATGTGTACTGTAATGAGCCTCATGTGGAGAAAAGGCAGATGTTTGATAGTAAAAGCATGGTGGCTGTGAAGAGTTTGAATTTGCTACAAAAAGTAGGATTTGCTTACCAGTTGGATTAGAGGTCTAGTTTTAAATGAAATTAGGAATATGGGTGATCATAAGATCATTGCAATTCACTCCTAGGTTCATGTATAAAAGGAATATAAGAAGAAAACCCCATGCTAAGTATCAAACCAAAAGCTATTAAGTCCAACCAGGCAGCTGCTAATGGGAAAATTGGAAATTGGACAGTAACACTCTTCTATTCCTGCTCCTTACAAGAGAGGCAGTGTGTTTCTGATTGCAAGAGCCACACATCTCTTTTGTGATTAATAGCTATTAATAACTGTGCTGTCTTTATGTTGATGTAATTTTTCCCCAATTATTCAGAGTGATGGCCATCACTGCCTCTTGTGAACATAAGTTGCATTGTTTAATTAAATGCTCTGTGAAACAGTATTGTTTCCTGATTCACCCAAGGTTAGTATTATGTATTGCCTAAAGGGAGAAAATTTCCACTCCCTGCTCCTCATCATGTGTCTTTGTATCAGGAGTGAAATCCAGCAGGTTCTGACAGATTCTGGAGAACCGGTGCGGAAATTTTGAATAGTTCGAGAACCGGCAAATACCACCTCTGGCTGGTCCCAGAGTGGGTGGAAATGGAGATTTTGCAGTATCCTTCCCCCAGGAGTGGGGAGTGGAGATTTTGCAGTATCATTCCCCTGGAGTTTGGTGGGAAAGGAGATTTTGCAGTATTCTTTCCCTGCCAACCCACCAAGTCATGCCATGCCCACCAGCCACGCCCACAGAACTGGTAGTAAAAAAAATGTGGATTTCACCACTGATTTGTATACAGATTTTATATATTCATTTTTTTCTTAGCTAAATAGCCACCAACATTGTCGCTTTCCCTTATAGCATCTTGACTACTGTGGTTCCATTTTCAAACCCCTATCTTGTGCTGGTTTCTTAGTACAAGCTTCTGCACTGCTGGCATGGATTTTTCCTTTAATTGAACCTGGCAAAGTTGTAGATAAACAGTAGTTCACTTGCTTCTAGAAAATCAGAGATAGTTCCCAATTGCACTCCTTGCCAAGTGTCATATGCAGCATATCTGACTGCATATGATACTTGCTCTTACTTTGCAAATGTCTGGACTTTCCCTGGTAGAGTACTATAGTAGTATGGGGAATAAAATTAGAAACAGAGCAATGTCCTTTGGAGTGGGCAACATTTGTGGCTAAGCATTCTAAGATGGGAGACCACATAAAAGTAATATAAGGTAGACTGGAAAGTTGTTTTAAAAATCCCTGAAGAAGGCAGTATTAAGCCATTTTTGTAATGGTTACCAAATAAATTGCAGAGTTATACCCAATTCCCCTAGAGTGAAACTCAATCCAGCATTTTATTTATGTTGGGAAGGCTGCTGTTGTAACTCCTTCATCCAGTGGCTATTAAATACTGTGGCAATGGAAGAGGTAGTTTGGTGTAGTGGTTAAAGACATTGAGCAAGAAACCAATATTCTTGTCCTGCATTAGGCACAAAGCCAGCTGGATGTCCAGTCATTTTTTTCTCAGCTCTAGAAAGAAGGCAATGCCAAACCAAAATCTTGCCAAAAAAATCTGCAAGGACATGTCCAGGTGTTGGAAGAAACATCCTTCTAGGTTCTGCTCCAAGTGGGGAAAAAGACACTGGAGACATGGAGACTGCTTGGAAAGATGGTTTAATGGTAGACAGGATCACATGGCTTGAGTTCCTAAACAGAAAAGGGGCAGATACAGTAAATCCTCGGTTTTTTGTGCTCTCTCTGGCTCTGCATTTCTTGGGGGCCCGAAAGAGTATCCTGATTGGTTGTCAGACTCCCAGGGGGTGGGGGCCTTGCTGGCTGATGGTCACATGTGCTTCCCAGGTCACATGTGGTGAGTTTCTGCTGCTATTGTGTAGAGGGCTAATCCTATCTTTGTTGGATTCCTATGATTCCTACTATGGCTCTGCCTGAAGGAGGAGATCTTTGTTATGTAGAATAGACTGACCCAGGCCTTAATGGCCCATTGACAAAGAGTGGGGGCAGGAAGATGGGAGCTGCTTCAAAACATCTTATCCCAGGGAAATATAATATTCTGCCTTTTTCATATTTCCTAAAATATTTCACTCTTCCAGGAGAGGGGTGGGTGCTAACTTCCTACAATCCCTACTTTTTTTTTCAAAAACGTGAGTTTTGAAACAAGTTCTTGGCAAAAGATTAAAATTGATCAGATCAGGGAGCCTTAATGGGTGCTTTTAATTTTCTAATGCAAAGGGGAGGCATTCCTTCCCTGAATGCACTGAAGGATTCCTTCAGTGGCTTCCAACAGCTTTCAACCATGAAGGTCTAGCAGCCAGGGGGAAAGTTCTGGTAAGAATTTTACAGTATCCAATTTTCCATGCCAATTAATTTCAGATTTCAGATATTACTTTCTGTGAGCTTCCAGTCAGGTTTCAAGCAAGCACATGTCCAAACATTTTTCACAGCCATGATATTCCTTTAAGTTACAGGCTGCCCATTTCATGGGTTGGTTACTAAACCTGCCCTAGCTCTTAGTTTAGTGCATCCAGGATTTGTGAGTCCAAATTGAGGTTAGTCAGTGTACAATATCCATTCTTTTTTTTTTCTTTTTTTTTTTTTGGGTGTTACACATAATGAGCCCTGGGATTACTACTCATGAGACCACCAGTGCAATATATCTTCCTTTACTGGGCAATTGGGCAGCATCATTTGTGAGTCACAGTCAGGGCTTGGGTTTTGGAGATCACTTTTTCTGCTATCTCTTCAAGTGAGGGAATTGCCTGAGGGGAATTGCTTCCTTCCCCATGGAATTAGCAGGGAGATAAGACTACTTGGGCTTTTAGTGCTACAGAGCAAAAATCAACCTAGGAGAAGCTTTGTGTGGAGGTAAGTGAAGGAAATAGTTTCAATCTAATTCTGAATAGTATGTCTCTCTGTGTGTGCATGTGTATGCAGCTACTTTTACAATACAGGCAATACAAACATTTTGGACATATTTCTCCTCCCCATCAGACAGAAATCTAAGGTGTACATAACTTGCTGTGGCAATCACTCCCAAATACAATTCTTACAATAAACTGATTACAATATAAATGAGACAAGAAAGATAACCTTACAATGAATTTCCACCCTCCCCCCATAGTCTTTCCAGCTGTCTTCTGAGGATTGAAAAGAGTCTTTTGGTCTTTACTTGTACATCTCAGGGTCTTTTCTTTCATGTCTGCTGGTAGAATGCTTGGTGGTAAGGCTGATCAGTCAGGCTTGGGAAGGTCTGCTCCACTCTGATTGCTGTTATGACTTTCAGTGGAGGCTGGATTCAAACCCAATTCCTGATTCAAACAGATGGAAGGTCTCCTCTGGAGGCAGCATCTGGATCCATGTGCTCTGCTTCCACAGGTTGCAGAGTCCTTTGTGCAGGGCTGAAAGACATTAGAACAGGGTCCCCTCCCCCCTTTTGTGGGTAATCTTCCCAGGAAAGGCATTGTAACAGGATTACAGATGGGGGGGGTGTAGATAGCTTGCAGAGTTTGAAAAGAAACAACAGTATTGCAGTTACTAAACAGATAATGCAGTTTCAACAAAATGGAGACACAACAGATAAGAAAAAACTGGATTCACATGCTTCAGGAAAGAGATGAACAGGTAAACCTATTTAAACACATACAGTAAATGCAAGACTGATTTTTTTTCCTTGTAAATGAACTTAAAACGTTTCCTCATAAACTTGAGTTGTTAACTTTAAGATACAGAGAGGGAAGGAGAAAAAAAACCAGAAATAGAACGAAAAGTTCTCTTTACTCTATTCTTGTTGGCCAGACAAGTACAGGGCAAAGGCTCTTTCTTTTTTCTCTCTCTCTCTCTCCCATTTTTCGTTGTTTCAACCTTTTTCTTTTCGTTTTTAACAATTTAAAATTCTTGTCTCTAGAGATCAGATACATTTTACAGTTACAATTACCTCGAGGGCGCACAAAGATTTAGACATACACGCATAAAACAAGGAAGACAAAGAGAAGAAAACAACTCTGAGATTTCACACACACTGATCATTCCCGCCATAAATCTCAGTTAAGTTAGGGAAGGCACAAATCTTAAACATACCACGTGGTTGCATAGAAGACAGAGA